TGAATAGGCTCTAGAGTACATTCAAGCAAATATCTGAGGTTTTGTGCATGTAAGACCAGAAAAACAGCAAATAATCATTGATTCATAAGACTAAAATCATCTATTTACACCAGGAATTGGACCTTGTCGTTCTTTCTCTGCCTTTAGATGATTGCATCACAGTATCAACAAGAAAAAGAAAAAGCACGATTTCTGTATCCCCAATTTGAATATGGAGTCAAGTTATTTATAATAAACCAGAGATATGCTTATGCTCACATCTTATCCTACCATTTTGAAGTATAAAGAAGTCATTCTGCTGTACATTATTATGGATTATATTCTGAGTGAGATACTCTATCATATATATTTTAACTTTTAAACAAAGATGGAAACCTTTAAGCACCTAATTTGGAAGTAGCCATGTTGTGGGATGTTGAAATAACTGAATTTTGGGTTGTTCGATCAAGTAAGGGAAATTCAATGGAATTCATACTCAATGTTATTATTATTTTTGGCCAACATTTTGCTTATTGTTTTTGTCTCTGACTTACATATAGACACTGGAGCTTATTCAACAGGAAAAATCAGCTTACCTTCCAAACTAATAGAAAAGAGGTAATTCCAATTGAACTTCTGACAATTTAATCTACACTGTGTGATATAACAACTATTACAAATATGTCTTAAACTTTGGGATGATGCATAGCTGCATAGCATGTTGGGCAACGTGCTATCTATATTCAAATTGTGGGCAAAAATGAATTACCTTTTTGGATGTTTTTGGAGAGAGGTCACATATATTCACATGTAGATCAATACATGAGGCTGTTGCAGATGCCATTCACAGTACTTAGTTCTATGTTAGCTATGGATTTGAGGAAGCTTTGTCTGTTACTAATCTCAATGGACCATTTAGTTCTGATGTTTAGCTGAGGTTATTGATTTAACATGTTGTAATCTCCTGATCTCATATAGCCGGATATTCTATATCATATGTGCCTCTGGATATAGGTTTTAGGCTGAACCTTGTCAATTGATTGTATTCACATTCTTTTATATGCCTGATTAATTTATTTTTCATACTTTGCTTGATTGATCTCAGTTTTGTGGTTAATTGCACAACTACGATGAATCCTTACTTTCAATTATGATAACAGCACTTACTACTCCAAGGTAGCCAGGGATTTTTCTACCAAATTACAGCAACAACAGGTTTGGGCCCAATAATCCTTATCTAAATTTCTGAGTTTGGCTCTCAGTTTTCAGCATGCATTTGATGATATCCTCTTTATATGTGCATAGGACTGGGTCAAATCTGGGAAAGCCATCAGAAAAATTGAAGAGCAAGGTTTGGTACTTTGCTACATCTTCTATGCTTTTCTTTTATTAGGAATACAAATAAAGCAAGCTAGGAAACAGAAAAGAGACAGGCACAGGCAATATAGGGTAAAGACATAATTCTTATAGAACAGAGCTAGTCTACTCATCAGTCTTTCATCTTGTTAAAATTTTTAAGCTTTTGGTTAATGCTGATGAGTCCAAGTTGACTGAGTGTGAAACATATATGATGATACAATATATGGTAATTCTTGACACTTAGATTGATATTCTAGGGTTTTGTATAAATTGTATCACTTGTGATCTTTTGCATCTCCTTAAATGAACTATGGGTGAAAGAATTACTTGCGTGTACTGAGATAGTAATAAATTGATCTCCTGATATCAATAAGCATGTCTATAGAATGTTCAAGTGCAGATTTTTAATATGTTAAAATTCATGTAAAATATTTTCAGTTTATTTGTGTGTTGGGAGGGAGATCTGCTGAAATTAGCTTAAATATCTGTTTTAAGGCTGATCTGGTTCATAAATCTTCTTATTCCTCTTTTGAGAAGGGTAAAGAGAGCCCTAATGGGAATACAATATTCAAGTAATACCCTAGTTATAAATCACCCTTTAATGATGCCCTAAGTTGTTCATTTATCATTTTGTCCTTCTGATTCATTTTTCCATCTGAAAGGGACTTCTTAAAGGTCTGCTCATTACAAGTTACTACGGCTTTAACTTTCTAAGTCTCACAGCCATATTTTTGCTTACCTGAGTGTTTGGGTAGCTTCAAATTCTTGTAAATAGATTATTATTGATTTTTAAATGCTAATAATTAGGATCTGCAGGTCAACAATAAATTTGATGAGCAAATGACTGAATCTAAAGGTCTGTTTACAAGACTTATCTCAATTTATTGCTTGAGGAGATTTCTTTGCTTCTTCATTGTTATGTTGGTTATGCTTTCAAGGGTGCTTATGTTGTTATGCATAATCTGGTTCTAGATATCATTAAACTTTCAGTCTACGGCTCTAGGCAAGTAGGCAGTACAGATCGGCTTCCAAATTGTAGAAGATTTTGCATGCATTAACAAAGAAGTCATACCAGAAAGGGTGGACTTATGTCTTTCTAGATATTTCACTTGATCAATACCCTGCTAGTTGTCGAAAGAAAAAAAATTGGTCTGCAAATAACATGGATCTTCAGGAAGTACATCACATTACTTTAGCATGCTCTAAGCAAGACATAATCTAAGGATTGCTTTTCAATATCAAGAAAGATCATTCAGCTTGAGAACAGTACTTTATTAATCTATGATGAAATTGTGAGATTTGCAGAAAGGAAGAAAAAGCAAAAACAAAACTTAGAGTTCATCAATGATACAAAGTTTTCACTTTAATTTTGCATTATATAGGTTTTATATGAAAACTCATGAATTTCCTTACATAGGGTGCTAAGTATTTGCTTTTAACCCAACCGCCTACGTTCTAAAACAAATTTTGGTGATTTGGAAAATTGATCCTTATACATAGTGTTGACTATTTCATATCATTTTGAGTTTATCTTGCAGGTAATTTTAGTGTTGAAAACCATCTGATCAAAGACAATGTGGTAAAAACCCTTCCACCAATGACTTAAAGATCGAAGCAGTTGCTTTGTTCTAATTATTAGTTGGAACACCAGAACATTGAAGCAGTGAATGACCTTGTTGTCAAATTGGACTTAGCTAAGGCCAAGCTGGATGGTATTGCAAAAATGAAAGCCAAACTTGTCAGAAATAATGGCAAGGTTTGTAAATAAACATAAACAGCTCTGCCACTTGTTTGGGGTTAATACTTCATACAGAGTTGATTGATTCATTTGTTTTCCTAATGCAGAGGGAAAAGAAAAACATGTCCTTTATGGCAGGATATTAATTTATTTGCATTTGTTGATTGAATTGGGATTCAAATCACCTTTTCCCTCTGAAGATATATAGGCTAATGGCTTGGACAAGGGATGCCTTTTACTAAAGTGAACCAATTATTTTTAAGATATTTCATCCAGGGGAAAGCTGTTTCTACATTCGTCTAAAATTATGAAAGAGATTGCTTTTTTCTTTTAAATTTACTACTCAAGTGCAGTTTTGGCTTCTTTATTTACATTTCAAATTGTTCTTTTTTAAGCACAATATTTCTTGGAGGTAGTTTTCCTCCTTACCTTGTTCAGCATTCTGTTAGCCTCTTCCTCACCCAGATGAAAAGAGGTTTGAAGAAAAAGAAAATGCAAGTAGAAAGAAATGTCAAAGAGAGCCAATTAGTTTATGGTTTTTTATTTTTATTTTTTATTTTTTTTTTTCAGATTAAGGAGTCTATTGAGCAAGCAAAGTGCGAAGCAAACCATTTTAAGGTGACTTGCTTGCCAAAAATCATGCTTACAATCTTGCATATTTTACAAGTATGCCATTACAAAACCCACATTAGGATTAATGGCTAATGGTTGATCTAGTTTGATAGATTCACCCTCTGAGACAAGTTCTGGTCAAGGGGGCTAACATCAGCAACCTGATGGCAACCATTTTCAGAATTACCTATATAATGCCACAATAATATGATATGAAATGGTTGCATTACTTGCTGCTTGTATGTATGGTATTTATCTTATTTAGTTGATACTTTTGTGCTTGTAAACATTTTAGAGGGTGATTGACAGTCTCTGAAAAAAATCATAATCCATTTCACTGAGATATTCTCTTAGAAAATTGTTTATGGTTTTCTTTGTTTCCTCATCAATTTTGTTTGTAACCATAGCCAGAGCTATTGGAAACAAGTATGATGACCCTGGAAGATGAATACAAAGCGCTTCTATTAGATAAAGATGGGGAAAGTGACTAACTTTGCTCATTGCAGGACCAGTTTGAACAAATAAAGGTAGATACATTTTTTAGATTATGTTTTCTATTTCATGAAATGGCCTTCTGATGTGGTGCACAGCTAGATTTAAGCAAGGTCTTAATTTAGATGGTTGAACATTTTCATTATCCAGGTTCTTGCGAGGAAAATTGATGATTCTGACAGTTTGACACTGACTTTAACGTTTAAATATATCCATCTTAAAAGTCTCTTAGACCAGTGTTTTCCTTGCAAGATCATTAATAGGTGCCTCCATGTCCCACGGGGAATTCCTAATGTGATTAAATGTGCATGTGGAGAAGAATACAGGTTGAATGTTTGTGCTTGACAAATTAAAAAACATGTGACCTTGGATAACTCAAAAATGACAAAGAATCACTTTTCTGTTACATGTAATGTATAACTCACCACCGATAGGAAATTCTGGTAAAATGTTAATAGTTGTTATGGAGTAAACTTTTTAGTAATTTGAGAATTATGTTGGAGAATAGGTTTCAACAAAGGAAACATCTACAGTCTATGCTGTTTATTTTACTGGAGAAAGAAATCAATACATGCCAGCGCTCTCATATTATGATGAGATAATTTGCAATTCCTATTGAGAAGTTAAATGTATTAGTTCCTGAAGTTGTGATTCATAATTCTGTGAAATTTTGTCATCTCTCACTGTGCCAATATTGTTTGATGTGCTCTTTTTCCAGTTACCCAGCCATCTTATATTTTTAGCTTTTTCAGATTCCTTGTGAAAAAGAATGAAACATGTTGCTGCTTCAACAAATCATTAAAAATTGAGCACATACATGCACACAAGGAATCACATCTCTCTTAAATATCTTGTGGACAACATCTCAATCCTTCATGTCATTTCTATGACATTCAAGAGTAAAAAAAATATTTCCTGTTGCAACAATTTCTTACAAATTCAGATTTATATTATTCTTAGAATTTGAAAGTATCTTACTGGTTGATGTGTATATGCTTTCATATGTATTGGCTATATTCTTGCTACTGAATTAACTATAGAAGTATATGCTCTAAGATGCATAAAAATGAGAGAGAGAGATAGAGTATCATTTGATCCCTAGAGCATCCAGAGCTCCTGCTATATTCTGGGCTTCACTGGTCTCTATAGATATGATGTTAGGGTTGCCTTGGGGGATTGCATCTTCTCTTTTAAAGTTGTCTTCACTCCGAAGGAGCTTCTCACTGCCATATGCCACAGAACCTTTCAAAACTAAGGTCTTGTGTAGGCTACCTAGCAGGTCTTCATAGTCTGTATCCCCTTGCTCCCCCACAAATAAGACCACTTTGGAAAGATCAATTCCCCACCTTATTGAAAGATACCTGCGTAGCACAAGGAGTCATTTAACAGTAACTTTGCTCTTTATGTTGTAGGAACCACTAAATTTAGTGTAAATATTTTATGCATAAATGGTACAAAAAATGGGCCTGACCTTAGTGCTTGCATTCTTGATGCAAATAATGGCACCATATTTAACCTTGATGCTGCACGAGTGTAGACAAGATTGCACCTGAAGCCTCTCATCCGAAGCCTTTGGCGAAGGTCATCTATTCTTTGAGTCTGCCATAACTTAGATTCATCAATTACATTTGAAATGCACCTATTGAGTTGGTAGTCCTTTACTATGATTATTATTGTACATCATCATAATTCATAAACATACTCACCTTTGCACCAGGTCTGATGCTATAAGAGTAGCATCTGGAACTACATGCATCTAGATACTCTATGATGTCATTCTCTGCCCCATCTTCTGTCCTAGCAAGCCTCATTGCCATTGACCTCACATTTTCACCTGGCCATCTGTACTCAATGTGAGCTTCGTAGTCCATATCTGCCACCATATCCCTCCATGGATAATACATTTCACTTCCACTATTACAGACCAATGCATCAAAATCTTCAATATTTACTGGACAAGAACTCAATGCTTGCATAGTCTCTCTTAAACTTGACCCAGTTAGCAATACAAAACCTATCTTTCCTAGGCCAATACTTAAGCCTGCAGCTTGCATCACGTTCTTGATTATTGCTTGAAAGGTCTCTGTAATTTCTCCGTTGTTATTATAGCAATCAGCTGCTATTACAAATAGCATCTGTCTTCTACCAGGACTGTAAATAATGCTGGTGTTGCTATTTGAATAAGCCATTTGCGTAATGGCTTCAATGAGTTTCTTCTGTCTGGCTGCTGCGTCAATCTCTCCATTGAGTTTTATATCTCCCTCGATGGAAAATCTAAGAGATATGTCTTCCACATCCCTCAAAGAGTCACTCATTGGTTCTTCAGGAATTGTCATTATCTTAAGACGGCTAGTGGGGTGGCGGTTCCTGCAATGTTCAACGTGTGAGAGGTAGTTACGGCAGTGTTCTGGCCATGAAAAACGGTGTATGTTTCGGAGGCCATTTTTTCGGCACTCAGCCCATAGATTCTTGTCAGCAACAAGCTTAAGGAGGGCATCTGCTATGGCTTTCTGATCATGTGGGTCAACTAGGAGGCCATTGTTAAGTACCTGGGAATAAAATCTTGTTTGTTAATAAGGTGGAAATATAGTACATATAACTAGCCAAAACTTAGCAGACTGAAGGTAAGAGGAAGGATAGAAGAGAGGTTTCTCCCAAGATTAAGCAAACTTCTATATATTAGATACTTCAAATTTGGCATAAATAGACGGATTCTGAGTGATCTGTGTCATGCCAAACCAATATGGTAAAGAATTAGATCATTGAATCATGAGTTTTGGGGAAAATAACAGGACGAGTTGGTACAGGTAATAGATGGATTCATAAGCAAGTTGGATTAAAATCATTATCACTGCAGTGGTATGCCTTCTTAGGACTCTGAATTTCATGGGGAAGCCAAAGTTGCTATTGATGTTTCATTTAGGTGGCCTAGTGGAGATGTTGGTCTTGGGATTTCGTTGAATCTGCATATTTTTCAATAAGCTATATGACTTGGAATGGAAGATAGAAACCAAACTTTTTGGTGGGTAATATGATATTACTGTATCTTACCTTCAAGATGTCCACTGGTCCACCATTTTTTGTGGCAACAACAGGTAGACCATAAGCAGCTGCCTGGGAGATGAAATTAGAATGAAAATTAATAATTAGAAGTCTGGATGTTACTAAGATCAAGTCTATGCATTCCGAGTCAAACGCTTTATACATACCTCAATGATTGTAAGACCGAATGGTTCCACTAGAGCAGGATTGATGAAAACTCCCTTTGAGAATAAAGTTGCCACAAAATGTCAATGATAACAGTTTTTAGGGTTGCAGAAAAAAAAAAGTGATTAAGGTGTGGCAAAATTCTTAGCAAAGCTAATGAATATATGTACCTTGGTCTTGGCAGCTAAGCGATAAATCTCAGGAACTTGTGATTGTTTGTGATGCTTGGGATAGGCCACTTGACCATATAGGTCATACTTATCGATTAGCTTTAGTACAGTTGTAAGCACAACTGAGCTGCTGTTGGACATCTCTTCAATATTGTCTCTGTTACCAAGTATCAATGTCTGTAACAATAGGATACAAATTCAATAAACAGATTAAGTTGGTGTTATGCTTATCATACTTGGATCCTGTTTGAGGTGAAACATAGTTTTACCAGGTTGGCCAATTCTCGGAGGGGCTGGCACTCTCCAAAAGCCTTGAGTAATGTAGTAACATTTTTCTTGGGGTCAGGACGAGATAGTGCAAGTATTGTGGGCTTGTGCGGATTCGTGAAAAAGCGCATTATCTGCGTTGTTAAAAACAGTTAGACAATGTTGCTGGAAACCAGACCATATCATCTGACAAGATACTGGATGTCTCAAAGAGATCTTTTTTTTCCTTTCTGAAAAAAAAAAAAGGAATAGAAAGCAAAATGTATACAATAAAAAAAAAAAAAGAAAACAAAAGCAAATAGCCAAAAAACATCAATCAAGCTTAGTGTTCAAATAGTTTTTCTCTGTTTGGGGCAATAGATAAGATTCACTTGAGTATATAACAATAGTTTTCTTAATGAATAAAATTATCGATTCTCATTTGAGTTTTGAGTAAGAGAATGATGTTTGACCTCAGACCATATTTGAGGTAGATGCCTTTTGTTTTGAGCTCTGTCGGATCCAAGCAATGACTTGAGGTCACCATCATTTTCCAATGAATCTTGTGTTGTAACGTAGCTGAAGTCCATGCCCGGTGGTATGACCTGATTCCATATAAGAAATTAAGCATTTAAGATTATTGTTGTTATTAGACCTTATAAAAATACAACTTCTGGTCCGCCTTTCTGCCCATGAATGTGATTATAGGTTAGCTAGAACTTGGAAGTAATTGTACTATATATGACTAAGCATTTGAAATCGTTCTTTCTAAGGGTGGAAATACAATGCAGAGAATGCAGAGCATGTCTGTACGTACCACCATCCTTGGCATGTATCTTCCAAGGCAACTTACTCCACGTCGTCTTCTAACTCTAAGCTTCCTCTCTAACTTAAGATCAAAGCCATCATACAATCCCCATTGCTCTTCTATCTCTTGCCTTGTGCTAGTTACCACCATTTCAGCTGCATCCAACCCCAACTCTTCACCCTCAATCCTCCTCATTATCTTGTATGTGGCATTTATATCTTCCCTAGACAATCTTCCTTGTTTGAGCAGTTGTTCAAACTTGTTCCGACCAAGTGAGTGACCTGTTAGAACCATGGGCACATTTAAGGCCCCGGACAAGTGGGCTGCAACCTCTCCAGCATCGGCATAATGGCCATGGATCACGTAAGGCCATGTTGGTTTCCCCCCGTCGACTTGGTCACCCAAAGCCCTCGCCATATTTGCAATGTGGTTTAGAGCCCCATCAACAAATTCAGGAATGTGAGGCCAGAGAGATTCTTTGGCTATGTACCTAGAGGGAGAAACTTTGTATTCAGATTTCAGGCGTAAGCCAACTTGGAACTAGCCAAGTAACGTAATTAGAAATATATAGAAAAATAAAAATGAACATGTAATTACTTGTCACGAGGCCCGCAAGGGATGCGGATTATGTAGGCTCCACAACTTCCAGTATCATCGGATGGGCAGGACAACATCTCTATAGGCTCACCATAGCTTGAATCTACTTCGGGTGACGTGATTTGTCTGGTTAGCAAATCCACACGATGAACTCCTTTCGTGTTTGCTAAAGCCCGAGCAAGTTCAACCACATATTTCACCTGAAAATACACCACAAGCGTGCTCAGTTCCTTAGCTTAGTTTAGTAACCGGGTTGACATCATTTACTTTTATGTCATTGATTTGACTCTATGTTTCCATTTTCGGACAAGTTTTTAGAACCAAATAAATGAAAATATTAAGGCACTTTGTAGTTTGTACCTGCCCACCCGTATCAGAATCCCTCCCAAGTTCCATGTTTTCTCCGCGGACTAGCCCATGTATGCTGCATGCCAGGAACAATAAACAGTTAATGACTTTTATCTCTTTTTTTTTATTTAATATATATATATATATATATATATTTTTGCGTTCATTGAAAAAGTACATTTGGTGTGTTGCAATACCTAATCAAGACAATGTAGAGATGTTTAGACTTATCATCATCAAACCAGATTTGAGTGTCAGAGTTGATCCTGGATACGTCCTTGATTGAGTCCGAAATATTGGAATCACCTTTTTCCTTCTCACCTTCGGAGAGCTCCGATAGGTCATCTGCAGCATCGTTACGACCTTGCTCACGTTCAAGTCGTCGTTTTGTTAGCTTTCGTTCATCATCCCATGCTATCTGCAAATATAATGTTAATTTCCTTCTTTTATGTTTAACAGTCAAAAAAGAAAAAAATTTCCTTGCTTATTTAATACCATTATTCATTATCCAAGAATGTGTGATGTGCATCTATGTGATTATATACTCCTTCCGTTTAAAAAAGTTGTTACTGTTTGATGTTTAGTGGTCAAATTTTATCAAACCAAAAAAAAGAAAATTATCAATTTTGATTTAAATTATTTTAAATATTTTAGTGAATTTAAATTTTAAAAGTCATATGTCTAGAGACTATTTTATTCAAAGTTTATAAAAATTACTTTCCCAGGTTTTAATCAATAATAAATTTAAAATAAAAAGAGATCATATTAAAAATTTTGACCATGAAAAGTCAAACAGTGACTAATTTTTTTTTTTTTTAAATAGAGGGAATATGTTTATACACATTTATAGAAATATATGTATGATGCCCAACATGTAAAGTTTATCTTATATGCAAATATATGAAACTAACTTGGATCAATGTAAATTAGAACTATGAAGATAAATTAATTCAATGTAAATGTTATCTTTCTTATTTATCAAATAAATTCAACTAATGAAAGTTTTTAAATTGAATTAGAATTATTATTTATAAATGTTAGAAAATATTTTCAAAAATGAAAATATGATTAAATAAAAACTTAATCAAAGAAAAATTACATTAAAAGAGAAATCAAGTTAACTTAATAAATAATTTAAGGTAAAGTCTTAAAGATCAAAGATATGATTCTAGACTTAAAAAATCATATAAAAAAACTATATAAGAGAGCAGTCGACCGCCTTAGACTTCTAGGAAGAAGGCACAAAGTTGACTGCTTTATCAAACAGAAGCTAAATTTAGATTTTGTAGAAATAGCAATTGATTGTCAACCTAGACTAATCTATTGCTATATTTAGAAAGTGAGTAGAATTGATTTCAAAACCTAATGAAATCAATTCCCAATGGATGATAGTTTTCTGGGATTAATCTATGTTATAACCAATCTGCTGTTAAGGAAGAGTCGATTGTTTTATAAAAGGTCGAATGTGGAACTTTTGTGAAAATTAAAATAAGTCGAATGCTATATAAAGCAGTCAACTGCTCACATGTTGAATACATTATGTATGGAGAAAGGAGTTGATTGCTTTATAGAGGAGTGACTACCTTACTATAGAAAGCATTATGGAAATTAGAATTCCATAGAGGCAAACGATTGCTTTCTTGGGGCAACTAACTTTTCTGCATGAAAAGTTATAATTGCCATAAACATGAAAAGTGATTTTTTTTTTTTTTGTATGAAAAGTTTGATTATTTAAATGAACAAATATATCTATAATCTTTTAAAAAGATATATTTATAATAAAAAAGAGATGATCTTTGATTGAAACAACACAAATAAATAGTTACAACCTTAGGATTTAATCTCTATTTATAGAGATAGATATAAGTTCATTTTATAATCCAATTCAATTATGAATTACCTTTTTCTTTCTTTCATTCCTTTTTAACTTAAAGGTAAGTTACTTTAGCATTGTTTGCAATAGAAAACATTACAAAGACAAGGCATTTCTATTTCTACTAAGGTGTGTTTAGTGGTTTATATACTATTATAAAGTATAAACAAACAATTCATTGTATTTTGGAGGTGTTTCAATTCACCCTTTTTGCATACTAAAACTTGTTGGGGTGAAGTAAGTCTTAAGGAATATGGTGTTTGCAGCACTACTTGAAGTTATTTTGTTCATGTTTGAAGGTCTATTATTATTATTCAATACCAACTTTTCAACAAAAAGGCTACAAGAAGTTCACGAGACAATCAAGTATTCACAAGTTTTTTTATAGCCTTGCAACTCATTATTTTTCTAACAATAAATTAGATGAATCATATTAATATTTATAATAAAATATTCAAAATGATTATTTAGAAATATAAGTAATCCCTAAAAATTTTTCTTTACAAATCCCCTTAGGAAATTACTTAATTAACCTGTGAGAAATTACATTTTACCCCTTTTCACACACTCATTTCTATTTTATTCTTCTTTTTTGTTTATTTATTTCTCTTCTTCTTATCACAAATCTTAAACTATTAAAACTATATTGAGTGAAAAAGTTTGAATTTTTTTATGAAAGGAAAAAAATTATAAGGAAAAAGATAAGTGCAAATGAACAGAACATTTGACAAACAGTTTGTGAATATATTCGGTTTTTATTCGTTTGTAAAGCTTAACAAACGATTATGAACAACATTTCGAAGTTTATTAATTAAAAGAATAAATCATGAATATAGCAAAATTCTTTCATATTTAGTTCTTTTGTGAAAACTAATAGAGAATTATATGAATAATTCGTGAATAGATTCAATTTCTGTTTATTCATTAAGTTTAATAAACGATTATGAATAATATTTTATATTTTGTTAATTAAACAAAAAGATCACAAATATAAAAAAAAAATTGTTCATATTTGATTTGTTTATACCCCTTAAAAAATAAAGATAAGGAGAACAAAGAATTAATAATGGAAATTTATCTTTGCAAATATATTTATAATTTAAAGCAATTGCTATAAACAAAAGGACGTGGGAGCACTTGGCTAAAGGGATATGATTGAGATGTTAAAAATTTTAAAGGACATTTGATTCATTTAAAAAAAAAATCTCTAGCAAAATGGGAATATTGAATTTTCTTTTACTATTTTTTCTTGTCACATTTATTGCAATGAATATTTATTATTTATTTATTTTTAAATAATAATTATATATATTAAACAATAGTTCTATACAAATAATAGATACTTATATATTAAAAAAAACTTGCATGTAATTGAATTAAAATTTTTACTTATAAATTGAATAAATTTTATTAATCAAATAAATTTATTTAATTAAAGTCTTTTAATGGAATTAAAATTCTTATATATAATTTGGATAGATCTTATTAATATTTTTATATAAAATGTTAAAAATAACAATTAACAAAAATATAATTATCGTTAATTCAAATGTTTTCCAACATTTGTGCTTTTGTAGATGTTATAAATGTAAAGAGGGCGAAGGAGAAAATATGGTTAAAATACTAAAAAAGGCTCTCCATTATTTCACTTCTTTAAGATAAATTTTTATATTTTTATTGTGTCTAAATAAGTATTATCTTTAGATTTATACCTACATAGTTCTTATTTCAAATGAAAGATTGCTTTTGTAGTTAAGGATTTTGCAAGAACAATAAAAGTATAAAAATTTATATAAATAAAGTGATAACGTTTAAATATTTCTTTTATTATTTTAACCGAATAAATATAAAAAAGAAGGTTGAGAGTGCTTTTGATGAGGAGGAAGAAAGGGAGGGAGCAGTGAAGATAGAGAAATGTCATTGGCTTGACCAGCTAGGCTCCGATCCTTGACCCTCGTAAAGGTCGGATGTGGGCCAATTGTCATTAATTCGACTCTTGGCTAGTTGGTGAAGGAGCACAGGAAATAACAAAAAGAGCAGAAAAAGAAGAAGAACAAAATAAACAAACAAATAAATAAAGTAGCACAACGATATCATTAAACGACACATTTGAAATGTTTTGTTATTTATAATTGCTAAAATCGTACATGAATTCTTAACCAAAGAGTGCTTGCTATACTTGGAGACGTCGATGGGCCGAGATAAACTAAGTTCAATCACCTCTAAAACTGAAGCTATATGGCTTGACCCGGTCATTTAATTTTGGTTTAATATTAAAATATTAAAAATATTTTTATATTATTTTTTTACTATTTTAAATATATTTTATAATAAAAAGTTAATTAAAATATATTATTTTCTAATATAATAATTTGGAGTCAAACCAGACCTATAACTTAATCCATAAATACCTCTAAATATACAATCAACTAAAAAATTTCTTGATGATAAATAATAAAAATGTAATAATATTATTTAATTAATGATGTAAATGTTGAAATTAATCATAATTTTTAATTGGTAATTATGATTATTATTATTATTATTTTTATGTTAGTGTAGATGTTTGAATGAAGAATGTAAACCAGAATTACAAATGTCATGACTATGTTTTTCTGTTTTGTATTATTCCATAAGCATTTCATCACGAGAAGAAGAGCAAAAAATAAATAAATAAATAGAGAAATAGTAGTAGTTGTAAGCTGTGAGTATAAGCAATAAGCTATTAATGAGGATAAAAGGAATAGGATGCAAAGTGAGAGATACCTGTTTCTTCTTGCGGGCAAGATGCCAAATTCGCCAGCACATATTCTCAAGCCTGTTACTGCGTTCACGAGTATTCCTTGTTGCTATTACCTGCACTCAACAGTCACCCTTATTTGCTTTCAATCAATAAGTTCCACAACAAAATCATCTACCTTCAATTTTATTCCCTAGAATTAATAATAATTAAGAAGTTCTTTTTTGATAAAATGATAGTAAAATCATTGTGAGTTTCATGGTAAAAATAATGTTGTCTTATCCCATAAAAAAATTGTTTTTTTTTTTTTCTTATTTTTAACAATATATATGATTGATATATAGTGTAAAGGTGAGATTTACTGATTTATAATAAGTCAATTTATTCATAAATACAATGTTTAAAATTGAATTAATGAGATTTTAGCATGTTAAGATAATTAATAAAAGGATAAAAGTGTAAAATGACAAGAAGCATTTTTCTCATGGAAGAAAAAGTGCTACTCTCTAATCCCTGTAGTAAAGGAAAGAGGATATATTTGACAAGATTCATATCTGTTATGGATCTTGATCTTTAAGAAGTTGAATTAACATTTTATAAAAATAATAATTTTTTTAAAAAAATTCAAATTTATTAATAACAAAAAGAAAGATTTTTATATGCAACATATAACAATAAAATTTATAATTATAAGTATATTAATACGTAAATATATATAACAAAATGAATATATTAAATAATTGTTCTTACTATTTTTATTTATAAATCACTAACAATATTCTTTATAAAAATAAAATCATGCTAAATAATTTTAACATGTAACAATTTTAATAAAAAAAAAAGTATGCTAGATATAATAAAAAAAATATTTGGTTGAAAAAAATATAATTAAATATTTATTAATTTGATTTTAGTTGTTATAATACTCATATATATATATATATATGTATCTTTGTGAAAATATAATTGCAACAAACTTATTCATTTTAAAATTTAAAAAACTAATTAAAAAAGAAATGAAATATGTCACTATATTAATCCTATTTATAGAGTTAAAAAACTCTATTGACAATGTATCTAATAATTATATACAAATTAAAAAAATGAGTTTTATTATAGAGCAGCGTCAAGTTTCTTTCAATTTGAAAGAAGTAGTTCCAATTTTTTCCTATCAAAGAGACTTCCTTTTCTAATTAATATCATATCAGCATGGTATAAGTAGGACCTAAAATATTCATAATGGATGCCTAGTCTCCATATAACAACATATTTCTAATAAGGAAATTTAATTAAGAATTTCCAGCTACTTTTACAGCCTGCTTTATTAAAAGCACTATTTCCTAACCCCTGAATTAATTAAGATTAGAATACGAGGTCTCTAGTTTGAATTCAGAGATGAAGAGGGTGAGGTTTACGGGAATATTGAGAGCGAGAGAGAGAGAGAGAGAGAGAGGAACCTTGACCCATGTCCTATGGAGGTCTGATTCATCAAAGCTGTTAGTGACTTCTTCCACGAAATACTTGGTGGGACTAAACAGCTTCTCTTCTTTGACGAGCTGCTGCTTATTATTCTCTTGGAATTTGGCGATCTGCAGCTTCCCAACATCCCTCTTCCTTGTGCTGCTTCCCGCATCCAGAATAGCTTCCAAGTAGCCATTGATCCACTCATTTCCTGCCATTAGTTTCTACTTCTGCTTTGACATATCAACCATATATAAGAGAAGACCTTAATTATACATATGACTCTCAAGTTTATTAAGTATGAAGAAAAACGAGGGGAGCTGGGTTTGCATGCTTTAAATGATGACTAACAATTGGGATGTAAAGAGGAAGCAAAGGCAGCTCTTAAATTTATAAGATATTGTTTATGCTCTCATTTGGTTCTCTCAAACTCCAATAGTCTCTCACTGTAAGACCCAATCCTTTAGCCGGTAACAAACAAGCCATCACTATTTTTACGACTCTCACATAAAATATAAGCTTTTTATTTAGTTATATGCTTCGCTTCTGGATAAAATGTTTTTATATAGTTATATGCTTTTAAATTTTTAAAAAATATTTATTTTTATTTACTTTAATTAATATAATTAATTAAACTTCTCAAAAAAAAAAAAGACTTAAACATTTTACTCAATAAGTATACATATCCATATCAAAGAGTTCCGAATCTCCATCCTTTAAAAATTATACTTGAAAAATAAAATTAATTATGAATATAATTTTCATACATTATATCATTTTTATAAAAACAAATATATTACACATAAAATAAGTAAATAATTTAAACTCATTAGCCCATTTAATTTAATTTAATAGTTATTTTCAAACTTTCATTTATTTCTTTTTGAGATTATAAATAATAGTACGAAATAAAATATTTCTAGTAAAGTATATAATATTTGAAATAACATAGAGCATTAAAATTAAAATCAATTTTAACGTTTGTAGTAATATAATTATTTTTTTATTTTTTATTTTCATAAAATTAGTAATAGTTGATTGATATTTATTGTATTGATTAAGTGCATGTTTGTATGCAATCCTTTGCATATTTGATTAAGTGCATAGTCTTTTTTCTGGTTTCTTGAATATTTGTGATATTTTTTTTGCTTGATTTGTGATTTCTTTAAAAAAACATAAGGAAAAAAAAAAACTCCAAAGAGGGCTAGATTGGCTGTCAAATGCCAACCAATTGAGATCTCACTTGAAAAATAATATAATAACTCAAATTTAATGTTTGCGGTGTCGTTCAAACAACAAATAAAACTCCAAAAATTTTTTGGCATTGAAACTTGAAAGTGGATTATAGTGTTAAAAAATAACACATTTAATTCTTACAAAATGGCATTGAGACAATAACGAATGGCACTTAATTGAAGGAAAAGTGATGATGTGGCAAAAATTAACAACTTTGGCACTAATAAGTTTAAGTTTTTTTTTTTTTTTTTTTTTTTTTTTTTTTTTTAAGTTTTCAATTTATCTTTAAACTCTCTTACCTTGCTACATACCTAATTGGTGAGGATATTACGTGTTTAAGTTCTTTTGAATCTGCAACTTCTAAGTCTCAACTCCAATAATATATCAACTAATCCAAAAAATAATTAACTTAAGTTTAATAGTAATTATTGTTATTCTCGGTCATAATTAAATTATTATAAATTGACTTTTTTAATAAAAGATTTGTTCCATCAAAAAACAGAATTTTTTTACATACTATTTCATTCAAAGTTTCTACAATATATTCTTTTCATTTTTTTATCAATGATAAATATAAAATAAGTTTTTTTTTCTTTATTTTTACATTGCGACTTTAAATCTGACTAAATCTTTTATATATGCAACATAAATTACAATATTTGAAATTTGAAAACTGTTTTTTTGTTAAAATAGGTTTATACATTCTTCTCAATTTTAATATTGTCTAACTTTAGTGTTATCATTTACAATTTTCAATTCCCTATTCATATATATATATATATATATATACACACAAGAAATATTGTATATATACATATATATATATATATATAAAATATTGGTTAATAAGTTTTGAACTCACAACATAATCGTCGGGGGGGGGGGGGGGAGAAAAATCATTGATATTATATAGTACATTTGATTTCTACTTTTCAGTATGCTTGATATATATATATATATATATAAAATTATAAGTATTCCTATATATAAATATAAATATAAATATATTTATATTTATATTTATATATAGGAATACTTATAATTAATATAGTGGCATAGATGTATGCATATGTATGCATATAATTTGTTGTCATTACGGGAACTTGTTAACCATTAGAACTTGAGGCTTAATCTTAAAAATCTTAAGCTTGAATAGTGAGATGGGCATGATGAAAAAATTATTAGGTACACTCTTCTTAAGACGTTAGCTACGGACCAATCCGGTTATATTATATCATATCAACCCTTTTTCAAGTCATATCCGACTAATCCAAACATGAAAGAGAAATCATTAAAACTTGTTTGCCTTAAATTAATCGTTATTTTGAAATGACAAAATATTAAACTAAATAAGCTTGATCAAATTTTTGAAAAAGATTTATTTAGTACATGTTTTTAAGTTTTATATTTTGATACTAAATAAATAATATGATTTTTAAAGTTTAAACAAATTTTTCTTGGTTTCATATTTCTCAAACCAAATATATCTTTAAAGATTATTTGTTTGAGCTTAAATGAAAGTCTAATTGTTGTTTTTAAAGTGAACTTATTCATTTTGGACTTAATACAATTTTAAGAATATTAGTTTTGAGAAATAGATTAACTTAAGAAAGTTGTTTTACAAGAACAAAGTTTTCCAACATTGAAATTATTTTATTTTTTTATATTAATTTACAAAATTTTAATATTTAAATTTTATATGATTGGAAAGCTCTTTGTGTCTACTTTCTAATAAATCAAACAAAATCAAAATCAAATTTTCTAAGAAAAGATTTTGAATTTTTTACTAGATACTCTGCAGTTGTCTAAAAACTACATAAGGGATAACTTTGAAAATTCACTATAATTTGTATACAATGAATTAGTTGATGAATTTTATATAGATAGAAAGCCCTTTAACTCTAGTTTCTAAACCCTCAAACAGTTTGTGATTTGGATTTGTATAACTCAAGTTATGATCAAATTATTGAGTAAAGTATAAAACGGAAAACAATCACCTAGCTTGGACAGGATCGATCCCCTCAGGGAAGGGATCGATTGCTTTTTTACCCAGAAACAAATTTTTTGTTAAAATGGCAAGAGGGATCAATCACCCTATGTAGGGGATCGATCACCCCCTTAACTAATCAATTCTCTACGGATCGATCGAGTAAGCATTTTCAAAGGCAAAATTGGCTTCCCAAAGTGAACCAATCGATCCCCTAAGGGAAGGGATGGATTGGGTCTAGGCAAGATCACTCCAATGGCTACTTTTTCATGCTTCAAACAGTTGTTTTCTTCTCTCAAACACTTCCAAGAGCCATTTCCTCAATTTCTCTATAAATTGAGCACTCCAACACACCAAGAAGGTTGATGCATCAAGAGAGCAAGAGCCAACAAGCCATATTTTTATTCTCTAAAATAATCAAGAGTTTTTAGAGCTTCAAAGTCTATATCTTTGTGTTTATTGTATTCAAATTATATTTGTTGTTCATTCATCATTTTTTTTTACTTAAACTTAGTAAACACTTAGCCTTAGAGATGTTGTTTTATTGTTTGCAAAATTACCTTTGATATACAAGGGTGGAAGAGAACAAGAGGTGAGGTATCCTCTTGAGAGCTATGTAGTGAGATTGGGTAAAATACTACAAAGGGTAGAGGTTTCTATTTTAAGCCTTAGAAAGAAAAAGATAGGTTGTGTTTTTAATTCAAGAATAGTGGATTGAAGCCTTGGTGTGGATAACCAAGAAAAGAGGATGTAAGTGCCTTGTGAAAAAGGACCGAACCTCTATAAATTATTGTGTTTGATTTCTCTGTCCCTATCTCCTTATAATTTTATTATTGTTTATATTTGATTTTAGGTTCATTAGTTGTTATTGTTTGCATTATATTTTCATCAAAAGTGCTTATTGTTTTAATTTCCATTCAACTATATTGAAATCATTATTTGGGAAGAATTTAGAGAAATCCAATTCACCTCATCTAAAAAGCTAACAAAACCATGTGTAATTAGCTCACAAATGGCGAAACATGAAACAAAAAAAGTTTTGTAAATATTTATTTTTTAAAAAGGAAATTTGAATTTCTAACAAAAACGTTTTGAGATGATCTTAAAAAGACTATACCTTAGTTAATGGTAAGCCTAATTTCTCTTTTATAGCATACTATAATTGGTTTGGTCCGTAAGGGTGTAATCGATCGAGTTTGAGTTAATATAATATTAAACTCGAGCTCAAGCTAGATTCGAAATTCAAGACTTGCAACTCGACTTGAATTCGATCGAGTTTTATTTTTTTTAGCTTGAGCTCAACTCGAGATAAAAATAAAATTACTTGAGCTTATTTGATTAGGCTCGATTAACATGTAAAAATAAGCTCGATTCTTATATTCGACAAAAGCTCAATTATTTGTGCTCGAGCTTGAGCTCAATTTTGAGATATTTTATTAATTAAAATAATAAAAATATATTTAAATATAAAAACTCGATTAGGCTCGTGAGCTATTCGAGTCGGGTATAAGAATGCTCGAACTCGGCTCGATTGATGAGTTGAGTTACTCGAGCTCGAGCTCGACTTAATAATAATCGAGTCGAATTCGAATTTTATTCGAATCGAATCTGAGTAACTTACGAGTACTAATGTATTATTTACACCTCTATGTGATAGAAAAAGTCTACATATTCGATTTCTTGACATGACGAGATTTATGAGATGAGAAAGACTGCATCCTCTTTTGTAACTTAAGATTACGTTTGCAAATAAAAAATATATAATTTTGCTTTTGGAAAAAAAGGAATATATATATATATATATATATCCATTTAATTGCGCCACCGTAAAAATGATTAAGTTTTGCAGTTTGTTTATATATATTTTGATATGATATATGTTTTGTTAATTCAACTTTTGGATTTCGAACTTTCTAAAATCAATAAAAAAATTTTAATTATTTGAATTTTTATATAGTTTAATAATCATTTTTCATGATTTGATATTTATAAAAAATAATTCATAATTTAGTACTTTAACTTTGTTTCTGTCAAATATTTTCCTCCATTAACTTATGGTGTTAGGTAAATGATGTCGTAGTATATATTGGTCAATAAAATTATGTTATGTATCATGATTTTATTTATTAATTTCTTGTCACGTTTACATATTATTAACAGAATTAATGTCTGAAGCAAATGACAGGACAAAATAAAAATTAAGATATCAAATAATATTTTTTTATAAGTTCAAATCGCAAA